TAATCCGGATCCGACTCGCGTCGTGCACCTGGAAATGGTGGGTGAGTCTCCCAGCGAGGGCTACTGCATACACAGAATCTCGAATTCGAGAACTTACCTAAACTGGAACAAGCCGCTTACCACTTGTTAAAACCCCTCGTTTTGGTCGTTAAAACTTCAAACACTACTCGTAAAATTAACAAAAACTTGCACAAATCTTGTTTGGTATTGTTTTCTCAAAATTTCTACTTACGGTCACTTGGTTTTTTTGTGTTTGGTAAATATTTTTCAAAATTACTTCTTTTTTTTTTTTTCTTTTTATGTTAGTTGTATAATGGGAGATAATCTTCTCACATCATTTTTCTCATTTTACTTGCACGTCATACGATTTAAATTTAATATATTTTATTTTTTTAACAAAAAAAAATTATTATTGAGTTATTTAAGTTGTTAGATATAATTACTTTCTTTGAAAGTTGTAACCAATCCAAATAACCCTCTGCATATGTAAAATAAGAAACTGCAATATATATATAAGCACTAAAAATATCAATACAATTTTAAGAATCAAAGAAGTCATTCTCAAGTTAACTTGCATAAAAATCGTGCGTAAAAAAAATTATTTAAATACTTTCAATAAATTTCTCTTATATAATAACATTAAAATTTTGGGAGGGAGAAATTGTATAAAAATAACAAAAGAAAATTATTACGCTTTTATTCTCTTATTTTTCAGTAAAATTTAATTTTTAACCTAAAAATATTTTTTCGGCTGCCCTTTTACATCTCATTTTCACTCACATCCAGGGTCGGGCCTGGGCCCAACCCTCCCTGGATGTGGCGCGGCCCCCTACCCACTCCCGCCCAGGATCGTGTGCGTTGTTTCCACGCGCTAACTAATTTTCTTAAATTAATAAATAAATTAATTATTACCACACGCTCCTATATATATACTTAATTAATAGGTCCACTTCTCCTCACTATTCACCTGAGTTTATTACTTTTTACGGCAATCGATATGGCGGCGCAGGTGATCAACGGCGTTCCTCACCCCCCGCTTCTGCCTCCGGGCTACCGCTTCCATCCTACCAGCTCCGAACTCTTCCGACATTATCTCTACGACAGAGTCACCAAGGGTTTTTGCCAGTGGAGCATCGTCACTGATACCGACGTCCTCGCTCTGCCCCCATGGGATCTCCCTGGTATCTCTACTTCTTCTCTTTCGAGTTTTTTGATGCCTTTTCCAGTTTTTCCTGAGTTTTCAGACATGGGTTTAAGGTTTTCTTGAGTTTCTTGATGTCAAATTTTTTCTTCTAGAGATATGTGATAGGGGTTTAAGGTTTTCTCGAGCTAATTCGTTTTCTTCTTGAGATTTCTGACATGGGTCTAGTTTTTTTTGGAGTTTCTCGATGTTCTTTCGTTTTCTTCTTCAGATTTCTGACATGGGTTTAAGGTTTTTCCGAGTATCTTGATGTATTTCTGGCATGGGTTTGAGGTTTACCCCAGTTCCGTCACGAACTTGTGAAAAGAAAAAATTTTCTTGCATGCCCTAATTTTCCGATGCATGTCGAAAACATGGTATATGGTTCGATTTAAAAGAACATGCAATATTAACTTTAGGTTACTTTTGATGATATCTTTTTTGCACTAGTACTGTATATTATATATCCGAATGCGTTTGATTATACACCATATCTTTTTTTGCCCTAGCTTGTATTGTATGTTGGTTAATTTCTAACGCTGAATTTTGGGTATTGTAGGAATGGACTCGAATGAAAATGAGGGTTACTATTTTTATGCAAGGGAAAAGAAATCCAAATCTGCTGGGTACGATAGGGTTATAAAGGTGGACCAGAAAGCGTACTGGAAAATGAGTACTACTGGTTATGTTTGGGAAGAAGAGTTGCTGTGGGGAAGGAGGAACACTCTGAACTATTATAGTGGACCCAATGAGAAAACCGACTGGTTGATGTATGAATTTGTGCTAGATTCATCGCTTGCGGAAGGGAAAGATGATGGTGTTGTTCTCTGTAAGGTTTACAAGAAGAAAGATCCGGAGGAGAAACGGGAGCGAGGTCCAGAGGGAAGCAACGTTAATGGAAAGGGAAAGGGAAAGGGAAAGAGATGTCAGGAAAGTTCAGAGAAAGCAGCGGAAACTGTGCCTGCTCATGACATTGATTCTGGGCTACCTCTCAAGCGGAGGAGGATGAATGCTTCCTCCAGTGCATGCTTTCCACAGCTGAACCAGAAGACTAAATTTGCAGCCGGTGCATCACGTTCAGCAGCTCCCTACATCCAGGAGACTCATTCAGAAGCTTCTATACTGCCATCTTTCTCAGCTGAGCCCTACATTATTGAGGGGATTCATCCTGCAGAAGTTGCTGCTCCATGCACGACGTATAACTCTGCAGATGCTGCTCCAGTTGATGATCCTAAACTGTGTTACCGGCTCCCTGCCGCAATTGGTTCAGCCGACCTCTACCTTCAGGAGACTCATCAAGCTGCTGCTGAACCATGCACGATGAATTACTCTTCACCTGCAGAACCAAGCACCATGGCTGCATCTTCATCGAGCAATACTATTGCACCATTTGATGATCCTAACGTGTATTGGACGGAGAATGAATTGGAGCAGGAGCTCCAGCAGTATCTGAGTTTTGATCTGGCGCCGGCTGACGATGATTTTGACAAGGAATTTTTTGCTCCATTTTTAACATGCAGCAAGCTTGCACCATCCGCTTCATGAATTTGGCAGCTCAGTCATACAGACGTATATATAGATGATTGCTCTTTGATGTATGTATTGCCGTACCCCATGCAAACTTTGAATCTTGCTTTATGTTTATATTCCAAGTTAATTTCAATAGATTCGTATCTTTTTGTTTAAGTGATTATGGTCCATGCCTTTTTTGCCATTTCGGTGAATTTAGATGCACATAAAGATCATTTGTATTTCAGCATATTGATGAATTAAATGACTGTATATAACAACAATCAACTTCAAGATATGTCTAAAGTCACAATTGAACCGTATTTACAACTTAAAATATTAGAGATACAATAATTCATAGAATAGTGATGTACATTAAAGGAATATACACAAAGTAAGTGGTTATGTAATGAATTACTTTTCGCCTACGAAAATAAAGTGCCTAAAATGGAAATATGGCAAGCTACTAATAGTTAATGATCTCTGCTCCTCAGCATGTTACTATCATCCGCTTGTTGCTTTCATCACTACCATATGGTTCAACAAATCTGGTCTAAATCCATTCATCCATTAATTAAACCAGGACAAGAAAGTTGAATCAGACCTGAAACCGAAGAATTAAAATGAGCATCCCTTTCATCAAAAAGAAAAAAAAAAAAAAAAAAAAAA